CCACTATTGCTTCTATGTTTGACTTGATCTAGTCATAGCATATAACATGTTTGTGGGCTTGTGAACCTAGTGTTTGATCTAAAAAATGAGCTATAAGTGTTTAACTCAACATGGTACAAGATAACCCTTGAAACGAGGTGTGAAGAAGCTTGTCTTGGGATCAAACTGAGTTAAATATCTTTAGCAAGTGGTCTAGATTAAACTAAATTTACGAAAATGATCCTCACCCCATTGATTGACATTAATAATATTAACCTATCTAAAATTTAAACCTTTGTGGTCATTGATGATAAAGAGGGAGAAGTAATGCACAAAGATAGTGAAAAGATGACAAATGGTGAGAAATATGAAAGTAAGGGGATCAATTAAAATTTGAGCACACAAGTAGGGGGAGCAAGCTCATAAACTTGATTGATGCATTTGAATGTGCATTTCATATGTTTCCTTGCATGGCACAAGTTTTAAATTAAAATTCCATGCTTGTGTAGTGTATGCTAGTTGTAGGTTTGAATGATGAAATGAAAAACTAGCATGCATAGGTGATAGTTAGATATGCCTTGTTTACTTGCGTTGCTTTCACAAGTGGTGCTAGAGCCTTGCTTATAATGTTGATCTCATGAGGTATCTAGTGTTTGTGTTGTGCAAGTATTTCCAAGTAGTATCTAACTAGCAATGGTGCTAAGGATGGTATATTTGGTGCACTCCAATTGGTATCACGCTTCAAAGGTCCATCTATTATACCTTAGCATCATTTGGTAGACATTACTCTCCCACAACTCAAATTCATGCATATGTGCAAGCTTCAATTCAAACTCTTAGCACATATAGGGGGAGCAAATACTACCAATGGGGTTCATATCCTTTTACACATGGTAAATATGTTTGGGCAAGCAACATAGATTCAATTCAATTTCAATTTATATCTTTGTGAAAGGGTTGTCATCAATTACCAAAAAGGGGGAGATTGAAAGCTCTAGTTTGGTTTTGGTGAATTGATGAAACCCTAAGTGCTAACCTATTACTCTAGTGATTATGAGATAGGTAGTACATTCCAAGTGATGGAGCAAATGGAGAAGATCATGGTGATGGTGGAGTCCATGCAGATGATCAAGTGCTTGGGCTTAGAAAACAAGAAAGAGAAAAACCTAGGGGGGGTGTGATCACATTTAGGATAGATAGCCGTACTATTAAGAGGGGTGAAACTCGTATTGAAATACGGTTATCAAAATGCCACTAGATGTTCTAACTCATTGCATATGCATTTAGATCTAGTAGAGAGCTAACACCCTAGAAAATGTTTGTGAAAATATGCTAACACACGTGCACAAGGTCATACACTTGGTGGTTGGCACATTTGAGTAAGGGTGATGAAGTTTGGAGAAGTGAAGGTAGAGTTGCGCAGGGACCGAACGCTCGACCGGACTCAGCCCTGAGTCCAGTCAGTGTTGCGTAGAGGAGGAGCGCATTCGGTCTTTGACCAGATGCTAGAAGAAGAGAACGATCGGACGCACATAGGGTGAGTTCGATTGGTGCTGATGTGCACTGACGCAGGTGATGTTGCAAGGGCAGAGAGGACCGGACCCTCATCTACGTCTGGTCATGCAAAAGCGGACGCGTCCAGTCACAGAAATGCGGCTCTAGATGCTCTCTAGAAGTGACTGGACTCCACGTTCATGGAGCGTTCAGGCATTCCATCGGCACGTCAGGTCACGATGTGAAGGAAGCGCAGGGGCGTGTGATAGGACGCGGTGGCATAGCATTAGGTCGATGTTGGCGCGTCGGGTCATCACTTAAGCAGTGGCGCGGTGCGAGTTGACCGTTGAGATCACGTGGTCAATATTCAAAGCAGGGGACAAATGGCGCTCATCGGGCGACCGGACGCTGGAGTCGTGCGTCCGGTCACTCTTGACCAGCGTGTTCGGTCGGCCCACAGTGACCTACCCGTGGTGTCAAACGGCTCTATTTCGTGGGGGCTTCTATTTAAGCCCTATAGCCGGCTCTAGCTCACTCACTTGGCCATTTGCATTGACATAGCAACATTGTGGACTTAGCCAAAGCCCTCCCACTCATCTCTATCATTGATTCATCATCTTTGTGAGATTGGGAGTGAATTAAGCATGTGATGCCTATTAGCACGTGAACCTCCAAGTGAGTGTATCGCCACAACGGGGACTAGCTTATCGGCAAGCAAGTGAACCTCGGTGAAAAATCTTGTGTCATCTTGTCTCGAGGATTTCTTGGTATTCATTGTGATTGATTGATTGATCATCGCTTGCCACATCGGTATAATCTCACTACCTCACCCTTGTATTTACATTACTAGTGTAGCTAAGCTCTTTAGTGTAATTAGTTTTGAGAGCTAGCTTTGTGTCGAGTCTAGTGGTTAGTGAGGCTCTTTAGTTAGTCTTTGAGAGCTCACTAACTTAGTGGTAGTGATATAGCCTCTTGAGTGGATTAGAGATCATAGTGACTAGAATTGTGGATATGAGGCTTGCATTTTGAGTAGGCTAGCGCAATACTCGCTTCGCTTCATAATTATCTAACCACCTTGTTAAGTGTTGTTGTAGAAATTTTTATAGGCTACTCACCCCCCCCTCTAGCCATTAGGACCTTTCAAGTGGTATCGGAGACGTGGTCATCGTGATTTGAGGCTTAACAACCTTTGGTGTCAAAATGGCTTAAATCAACAACACCAAAAAGTCACCCCAATTTGATGGCTCAAATTACCATTATTGGAAGGCGAAGATGACAACATACATCAAGTCAATAAATAGAAAGGTATGGAAGGTGGTGGAGACCAAGATTGAGATTGCCAATGTCGAAGTTCCCACCGCCGCCGAAGAGATGCTACTCCAAAACAATGACATTGCTCTTAGTGCCATTCATGATGCATTAGATGAGAGGACATTTGAGCAAATCAAGAACATTGAGATGGCTCATGTGGCATGCAAGAAGTTGGAGGAATCCTTTGAGGGCACTCAAGCGGTGAAGGGTGCAAAGGCATACATACTCAAGGAGAAGTTTGCAAGCTTCAGGATGAAGGAGGATGAGAGTATGCCGGGGATGTTCTATAGGCTTCAAGTGCTTTTCAATGATCTCAAAGCACTTAGAGAAGAGGTGAAGGATAAGGACTTATCCCACAAGTTCTTGAGATGCTTACCATCAAGATTTGGCACATTGGTCACTATTCTAGTGAGAAGTGGTTTGGACACTATAACACCAAACTAAGTATTGGGTGATATGATGACCAATGATACTTATATAGGATGATGATGAGAAGGAAGAAAAGAAGGAGAAGAAAGATGAGAAGAAGAAGAGTGTGGCATTCAAGGCCACATCATCCAAGGGCAAGGAAAAGCAAGATTCATCAAGTGAAGATGAAAACTCAAGCTTTGATGAGTTTGATGATGAGAAGATGGCTCTTTTTGTGAAGAGATTTGGCAAGATTCTTCAAGAAAGAAGAAGTCATCATCAAGGACAAGGATGAGGCAAGGAGGTTCTTCAAGTGTGGTAGCAAGGATCATTTTGTTACCCAATACCCCTACAATAGTGAGAATGAAGATGATAACAAGATGAGCAAGAAGAAGGAGAAGAAGGACAAGATGACCTTCAAGAAGAAGAAGAAGAAGAAGAAGAAGGGTGGTTCATATGTGGGCAACACTTGCTTCGCTTCATAATTGTCTAACCACCTTATTAAGTGTTGTTGTAGAAATTTTATAGGCTATTCACCCCTCTCTAGCCATTAGGACCTTTCACGAGCTTCATCGCTACCGCACAGGCACTTAGGGTTTCGTGGAGCAAAGGAGCACAAACTCCCTACCGAGAGGAGGCGTTGAAGAGCCCACACGAAGGATGGGGGAGAGGGAGGGGGTCGTCGAGCCGCTCCTGAGCCGGCGCACTGCCCGCAGGGGCGCCATCGCCTGGCACCTGCTGCAGCATCGGGAGGGAAGGGGAGAGAGAGAGAGAGAGGAAGGGAAGGGAGAAACGTAGGTGAGAGGCAAGAGAGGGAGGGCGGAGGAGGAAGAGGCGGAGGAGGGCGGCCGCCGCCGCTGCACCCCGGGCGCGGCCGTCGCCATGGTCGCCTCGGGATGGAGAGGGAGAGAGCGATGGGGAGAGAGAGAGAGGAGGGGAGAATCTGGAAGGAGAAGCAGGAGCCGCAGCATATATTTGATTTTCTAGATTCATACGAGAAGCGGGAGAAGCTGAGGATAAGGGGGAGAAGGAAACCGGAAGCAAGAGAATCGGTCGTCGGCGAGAATCTGCTTCAAGGAATCTGGAGCGTCAAACTAGAGATCCGATGGCCAGGAACATTTGGAGTGACGTGGACAGGGTTTCTGGCCAAGGAGCTATCACAATTTGTAGTTTGTAACTAGAATTGTGTAGCAGCTTGCTTGTGGTGTATTAGAGCTAGAGCTAGTAGTTTGCATAGTTACCGTTTTAATTACTAACCATCTTGCTCTAGTGAATTTGTAGAGATTTTTATAGGCTATTCACCCATCTAACCATCCACATCCTATCACCGGCGTGAGCTCTCCTCCAAACGTGCTCGAATTCTGAACTCAAACCTCCTCTGCCCAACAGCAACTTATGGCTTATTTGGAACGCAGTGAAAAAAAATTCTGTTTCTGTATTTTCTGAAAAAAATAAACTGATTTCTATATCATTCCTACAAAAAAAATCTGTGTTCTAAATAGACCCGGAATGTCCATACCCTTTTGGTGAGGCGGCCCCCTCCGTTCGGGTAACGGGCCGGCAAGGCGGCAAGGCAGGGGGACCAGAGGTGGGCAGGCGGCCCCCAGGTGCCAGCCGCAGAGGTGGCTGTGTGGCACGTTGAATTAGGCTGGCGTACGCAACGCAACGCAACGCAAGCGACCCGGCAGTTTCGAATCCTCCGAAAGCCTCATTTAAAGCCCATGGCACCGCTCTCCGTCCTCTCCGCCACCCCCCCACTCCCCACTCTGTTTTCCGCCTTCCCCCGTCTCTTTCTGGCCCCAACCGCAATGGCCAAGCAGAGGAGGTTTCTCGCTCTCCTCCTGGTCACGGCCCTCCTCGCGCTCTCCTTTTCGCAAGGTAAGGTCGACGCGGCCGGCTTGCGCTGCGTGCTCTCTACCAATTCCTCTCATATCGTCGTAGTCATGTCGTCGGTGCCTGTGGTCGATGGATGGGGGTGACGTTTTCGCTGTGTGGGTTGTGATGGAGCGCAGGGCTGGTGGTGGAAGCGCGGAAGGTGCAGGTGCTGCGAGCGCTGCGGCACAACAACGAGCGGCGCGCGGCGCCCTCGGCGGCCGCCTGCTGCCGGAGGAGATGGCGTACACGACCATGGACTACGGGCCGCCCACGGCCAACACCAACACCCACGGCGGCATGATCCCGACGCCGGACCCCTCCTCGCCGCCGACGCACTGATCGGATCCATCAGTCAATCCACCGGCGACTGTCTTGTTCTGCCTTCTGCGTATATACTACCGCCCGTACGTGTACGGTCGTTATTTGGGATTGGGAGAGAAAAAGGAAGGGAAGGGGATCGGAAGAAGCTGTTCCTCTCCCTTGGCGCGAGTGTTGTATCCTTGTGGTGTGTGCTGTAGCTAGCTGTTTCTGTTGCTGTGCTTGGTTGATTGAAGTTGGAACTGTTAGTGGGTCCGGAGTATTGTGTTTGGTGAGATGTCAGCGCACATCGTTTCATTAGTTCTGATCAGTGGACTGAACTCCTTGTTGAATCTTGTTTCTTTTGTACGGTGAATTGTACGTACGTCCGTTGAATTTTGTCTGAATCTAGTCCCCTCTGTACAAGCCATAGATGAATGTACTAATTAATGGAACAAAATTCGTCGCCAGTGATCTCAACTAGGTGTAGTACTGCAAGGCACCACTGCTGTGTTTCTCTGTCTCTGTGTGCATATGCATGCATGTGAAATAAAGCAGTTTGGTGCCTGAACTGAATGATGATCAGTTGGCATTAAGTTCAGGCGGTAGCTAGTGTCAATGCTGACTTGGGAAAGAAATCAGAATATATATCATGTCGGTGGACGTACTATAGTGGTTTTGTATGGGTGTCCGTGTGTGAAGACCGAAGAAACACACCAGCTAACACAGGAAAGAATCACTGGCAATTAGGCGAGTGTGTAGCATCCTTTTAGCTTCGATAAGCAAGGAAGTCTAATCATTCGTCTTCCTTGGAGCAAGCGAACGATCCATGATTGATTAGAGTTAGAGCCACCCTTGCAACATGCATAGCGCCTAACTCCGATCTCCGGGCAGATATAAAATTGAGTGTCAACCAAAATACTCGTACATGTGGCGTGTGACCATAATGCATCCCCAAGACTCGAAAAAGATGCCTTTTAGATTTCATGGGTTATACTACATGCTCTCACCGCCCCCGAAATAACAATTGTATTTTGAAAAGATTATAAACACTACTCTTACATTATGCTGTTATTTGCTAAAGATTCAATATAATCTTAGCGAGACTTCAAATACAACTCTGTTGATATAAGTTTTATGCCCTAAATTTGTATGTAATTTCAATAATTATTGATCAAAATTTGTACAAAAAAAAAGAATTCCTATAAAAAATAGGATTGCTATTCTGCCATGGAGATGGAGGGAGTATCTTGTATACAGGCCTATTATAACTGATGTCGACAAATTAAACAAGCATCCTTGGATCGAGCTTTGCTTTGTTCATCTTTTCCTTGCAAACAGGCCAGTGTAACGTACGAAACGGCACGCACCACATCGTTTGCTTCCCCAGTACACGACCGGAGAGTGCAGCACGTACCACCACTCGGGTCAACTCCTCGGGTTCTATCATACACACCCTAGGAAGATGCATGATGAAGAAGTGGATCAGTCAAAAAGGGCGGCCTGCTCATCTCATCCTTTTCCACGTCGCGGCGTCGTCTGAACTGGTTGCATTGCATGCATGACAGATGTTGACTCCAGCTGAAATCCGTCAGCGCGATATCGATCGGAAGGTGAGCGACGTGCCTGCTGTCAGGTTCCACCACCCGGCGATATAAACTGATCAACCCGACAACCCGGCTAGCTAGCTGATGCTCCTAAAGTGATAACGAACACGGTACAGCGCACGTATATTCTCTTTCGATCGATCGGTTGGAACATGCATGCCAACCTCGTGATCGACGTACGGTTCACCTTTTTACTTTGCTTTTGCTTCGCGTTTCGCTCCATCGTATCATGGGCGCGTTTAGTTCCCAAAATTTTTTTGGGTTTGGCTACTGTTTGGCTACTGTACTACTTTCGTTTGTATTTGATAATTTCGTTTATATTAGGTTCGAAATAATTAAGTGCAATTAGTTTTTTTTCGCCTACATATTTAGGTAATTAGTTTGGCACGAAACTTCACCCATGAAGCCCTTTTTTGGGGCTTCATCGCTCTATTCTCACTGCTTTTGATAAATCGTTTGGCAAAACTGCTTCAATTAGTTTTTTTTAAAATATGCTCTCATATTTAGAATCTGAAGTCGAGAGAAGCCATATGTTTTGTCATTCCTACCCCAAAGCTCCGTGAGAGCAAAATTCGATGTGACACTTTAGGGTGAAAAATTTTAGAACTAAACCGGATTCGTCCGCACATGCGTGTTGGGCACTCTTGATCATGCACTCGGCGATGATGCTGATGCGGCATGGGGAGGGGAGGAGGAAATATATGAAGGTCAGATCGATCAAGGTCAATGCTAAGAGAAATCTGGCGGCAATTAATCCATGCATATCCAACCTTATCTTTCTTGCGAAGCTCGCTTCCTTCCCTTCTCAGACACGCTGCTCACTCCATTTCTTTCAGTAAGACGTACTCGCAAATTGCACAGTGACATATACAAGCCGAGCATCAGCTTGCCTCAGTACAAGAGTTGACGCAACAGGTTGGGTGGATGGGCGAGATGGACCCCTGCATGAGGTGAGGTCCATCAGGGGGGTCGATGTGTGAAGTCAGTCACATGCATCCGAACAAAAGGTTGGCAAGCCTTGGACTTTGCGACGGCTGAGCTGGACGTGATCAGTTTGGATTTGGATGCGTCGCCAAACCAAGAAACGGGAGGGTACTGAAGCACCCTCTCTTTGCCCACACGTTCGTCGCTCCCGTTTGCATATATGTTTGGTACATGTGCACAAACACATGATCGCTTGGCGCAGATAGATGCTTGAGATGGCCCAAGACGACTAGGGCCACGTTTAGTTGCCGAGAGTTGGCGACGAAACTAGAGCAACGTCGTTTTGGGTAATAATTGTCAATCGTTGACTAATTAGGGTCAAAACGGGCAAAGTACAACCAAACTGTGCAATTAGTTTTTGATTTCATCTCATTTCACTCCATGTACCACAAGTTTGATGTGATGGAGAATCTTCTTTTTACATAGTGCCAAATTCTGGAATTTGGAGGAACTAAACACCCCCTAGAGCTCGTGGGGGGTCATCTGGTCAAGCTGTGTGCACGGGCGACAGATTTTGACTCCTTCACTACTACTAGTATAACCTACAGTAGGGCGCGTTTAGTCCGGCCGGAATCAGCATTTGCACGGTGTTCGATGTGACGGCAAACACGGTAGCAATTTCGTTTGTATTTATGAATTATTGTCCAAACATTGACTAATTAGGATCAAAAGATTGGTCTCGCAAAGTTTAACCAAACTGTACAATTAGTTTTTGATTTCATCTACATTTAGTACTCCATACATATACCGCAAGTTTGATGTGACGGGGAATCTTCTTTTTGCATAGTGCCAAAGTTGAGAGTTTGGGGAACTAAACAAGGTAGTAGTCAATTTTTTTGTGCAGCTGACTGAAAGAGACTCCATGAGAGACATCCTGATGACCAACTAATCAGGCCCTATTTGATCCATGGGCTAGCCCTTAGAACGAAGGGGCTAAAGTTTAGCCCTGTTTGAATTCATGGGCTAAAGATTAGCTATTATCCTATCACCAATTTATTCCTAATTAATACTCATGTACATGACTAAAAGGGGTAAGTTGAAGTAATATGTCTTTTGTCTCACGAGACCACTTTTAGCCCTCTTTTACCCTTACCTTGGAGGGGCTAATGGAAAAATGGTGGGCTAAAGTTTAACCTCCACTTTTAGCCCTCATGTTTGAATCCATGAGGACTAAAAGGGATAAGCTAAACTTTAGCCCGGTGGATTCAAATAGAGCCATAGTAGTGAGCATCTTGTCACCACGTCTTTACTTGTTAACTAGATATATGCTCGTGCGTTGCACGGGGTAACGAATTTGTATCCACGTGTACCCGATGCACGTGTCTTATAGTTTAAACGAACATATTAACAATTTTTTATCCATGTCTATGATGATGCACATGGCTTGTGGTTTCGACAAACATATTAAGAAATATACAAATTTGATTACATAAAGCATATTTTATGATCTTTATGACCTATATCGTGTAGATTTGGTTTATAGAAACCTAATAAAATTGGTTTCGTTTTTAAATTATTATTTTTGTGTTTTATTATTTTACATTTTCAAAAATTAATAAAAATCAAATAAATACTTGTGCATTTGGACCCTAAACTATTTCTAAATTCTCTAGGTTTTTCTTCTTCTATATGGATGTGGTAGACTAATGTGCCACGTTGTTACCTGCGGGCATCAAGCAAATCACCATGCAACGAACTCATATGTTACGTGCGACCAGGAGGTCCATCCGCCCTTCCCACGGCACGTCGTTTCCTTCATTCTTGCTCTCGCAAGAGGACGAGCGGGGTGTAGATGCGGCCACATACGCACGAGGCGAGCATTTGTAGGTGCCCGCCGCCGGCGGCACAAGCCGGAGCTAGGGCGCGCATGTGCGGGCGAAGCGTAGCACACGACGAGCGTGCGCAGAGCGCGGTGACTGCCGCGGCCACCGCCAGCACATATTGGCATCGCGTCACCCGCGTCCTTAGCGAGCGCGTGCTCCCGCGTACGCCGGGACTACGCACGGCAACAGTCGCAGTTGCTTGCCGCTGTCGGCGCAGACTGGAGCTAGGATGCGCGTGGGGGCGTGATTTGTTTGCGGGGAGGTGGGGCTCGACACGGACCCACGCGGGCAGGCGACGCGGGAGCGTGCGGGGTTCACATACCGGACTCGCCAATAAACTGGGGCGGAGTGAATAATACTTGGCCTCCGGACGACGCGGACTCTCGGACTAGGACCCACGCGGGCGGGGTGATGCGGAGCCACATATTAAGCTAGGCGAAGCGAATAATCTTGGCGTCAGACGATGACATAGGATTTTTTAGGTTGTTTTTTTTGTCATATAAGAGCATCTCCAAAATACCTAATATTTTCTTTCAAAAAACATAGAGTTTTACGACTCTAAAAAATATTGGAAGGAATAAAGAAGGTTATCTCCAAGAGTTTCTAATAATCCGTTCCTAAAATATAG